ACAACACCTTTTCTGTAGGCAACTTTCCAACAAAACGTACGACACTGAATCTAGGTCTAAATACTCTTATATATGATAAAAAGTAGATAAATAAAAAGGAAAACAAAAAATATTGTTGCACTATGCCATTGCAAAAACTTAAGTGGAAATGGGCGGGCCATACCGCTCACATGAACAATGGACAAACAGGGTAACAAGGAAAAGAAAGAGAGGTCGCTCTCTTGCACGGTAGGATGACAAGCTGAATGAAGTTGGGAAGAGATAGAGAGATGGAGCCAGTTGAAGGAGACCTAAACTCTATAAGAGGTCCTTGGACATCCTATTTTTATTTAAAATGTTAAGTTTGTGGTCGCTTTATTACGAAGTTACCAATAGTGCTTCATAGATTTTGCTCACGTGAGCATTTATTGGTAAGAGTCCACGACACAAAATATTGAAGGACCTTCCAAACTAAATGCTGTCAACAAATGTTTCTTAAAAAGTTTTGATTAAACCGTCATATTCTAAATCTAACAATACATTTGTATACCTTAACATGCAATATCGTCATTAGTAATACATTAAAGTGTTAAAATTGGGTTTGTAGGAATCGCATTTGACTGTAAATACAAGGTTCACACACACACACACACACACATAAAAACATCTAAAGAAAATGTTTCTTTAAATATTACTTAAATAATAAGCTAGTAAACAGCTGATGATCACAACTCCATAAGATTCATATTATTATATTTAGTAATATTTATAAATCGAAAATTCATCAAGGCAAGCATTTTAATATTGAAACTAAATTTAAACCTAATTTTAGCAGCAGTCAATCATTTTTATGACGTTATGTGTGGGAAACTGCAATACACCGTGTATTGCAGTTTCCCATATATTTAAGTTTTTACTAGTAATTCCCTATTTGAATACTTATTTGCTTAGCAACGCTTTTTTATAATTCATCAGCCCACTACCGAATATACCAAGCTCAGAAACACGTCGCAATGTAATGTAGACTGCCTTAATCAATGGCTTAACACAGTTTTAGAAAACACGTAGTTTCCTTGAACGACCTCAAAACTATGGGAAACATTCAAAAGAAAATTATTTTTCATATTTTTGCATAATTTTATTGTTGATTTTCCGTTTCTATTGATGTTAGTGTGATATTGAGTCTTATTTCCTTATATTGGTGTTAATCTGTGCAGCGGTTACAGAGTTTATCCATTACAATAAAAACATCAAATAATGCTTCTATAATATTAGTGTAGATAAGAGTTTTGAATATAAGAAACATATTAAACAATGATTCATTCATTCATAAATAAAATTTGCTTTTAATAGTAGTATTCGTAAGTGCCGCAATTATTTCCGGATTCTCATCCCACGTATTTTCAGTTGAGGCGTAATGGGATTATTTAAAGCGCCCTTCAATATTTTATTTAGAAACTGGTACACAAATTTGCCAGTGTTTTGCAAAGATAGGCGTTGCAGATGTCCAACATGTCTAGGTGACCAGCCTGCTCATTTACCATAAACAACAAAAAATATAGATAACATTAAATTATCGTTTCTATTGAAAGTATATAATCTTTCTGGTTCAACGAATGTTCTACGAAAAGCCTTAAGAATTATACAGATATTTACAAAAGTTTTGATAGATATAAAATCAACAAAAAATATCTAGGAAATGAAGACTATTGTCAAAGGGAAAATCGCTCGATGGTTTATTTCTGTAGTGCGGTGTAGGCTTTTTAAGGCATACTATGACCTATATATTAATCAGAAATATAAACAGTTAACGTACAAACAGTTCTATATTAGTCACAAACCAAAGCAAATATGTTTATTCAGTGTATTAATATAACGATTTATAGTTCAAGGTTAAATTTAAATTACTGCGTAGAACGGATGTATACAGTAGAAATAATCTCTAACTATAATTTATAACTGTTTATGCAAAAGTATCAGGAATGGTGACAGTGAGTGTTGGCCTTTTGTTCGATCCCCGGCTGGGCACCAATGGACATAAGACATAATCGACACATGTGTTCCGTTATTTATTCAATATCTGTCGTAGAGGCCTGTCATATTTATTCATTTTATATATAATTCTACTGTACGTGTGTATCTGAACTCTTCTTAAACGGCTGGACCAAATTGAAGGATTTTTTTTGTATGCGTTTGGGTGGCGCCCTGGATGGTTTAGATTCACAAATCAGCCCGGCAGTTCGCGCTGCAGTCGGTACATTCATACTTTGTTTAATATCCTAATCCCTTGAAATATAATGCGGGCCAACGTCTGTCGGGTCCGCTACTATAATATATAATTACATGAAACAGACGCAAAAATGTGTCTGCCCCATAACTGGAGGGGATCAACACGAGGATAAAGTTTGAATACGACAGTTCTGTGAACATAACCTTGCCCTATATATCGCAATCAAACAAAGGTCACAAAATTAGGTGAATATCACAAATCATTGGAAAAATATTAGAAATCTTAGTGAAAGATTTACGCATTTTAATTCCGAGCAATACGAGTTAAAAATAAACTGTACGGTTACCCTGACCACTTTATTTATTGTGAATGAAATTTGGTAGAAACGATTTTAAGACACATGATAGAACAGAGAGCAAATGGGCAGGAGGCTCATCTAATGTCAAGTTATACCACTATAGACACTCTCAATGGCAGAGGATTCGCGAGGACGTTGCCGGCTTTTTAATAATAGATACACCCCCTATAGGCAGCTTTCACATGGCGGTGGAGCTCGGCAAATACCTTAACAAGGCACAGTTCTGGAACGACGGACGTCGAGGTGATACGGGCGGAATTTGATATTCTGCCTCGATGTCCGATGATGTATCTCACATGGATACCTCCATTATCCGAAAAACTCCTCATCAATACTATTCACACATTAGTTTCCCCTAAGGGGTCTTTTCCGGACGTAGACATAAAAAGTAAATTAAAAAATTTCTAATTCTAGATACCTTTACTTAAGTATATATTATATTGTACATGGCGAGAAATGCAATCAAAAAACACTTAACGGTTTTAAATAATGTTAAAATATACTTATTTAAATCAATCAGTATAACTATGTTTATATCTATACATCAGCACACACTGACAACCCCCATTTAAAATCAGTTGCAAACAATTATTTAAGCGTGAAGGGAAAAATCTTTGAGAAGTTCTTTACCCAGCAACCACAATAACTAAATTTTTTTTGTTTGATTATGGAATAAAACTGGTTTAAATAAATACCTATAGCTGATAAGTATACTTTAAATACGTTTTACTGGATAATATTAAACGTTTTGGCAAGACAGCTAACCTTATTTCTAATAAAAAAAATAGAAGGTCATACCTAGAATTAATTAAGGAATCGCGTTTTCCCCAACATTTTCAAAGAAACTTCACTCATAAGCAATCAAATTATTTTCGACCTAAATCTTTCGCATTTGTGCAAACAGTGAATTCTCGGAATACACAATGACCAATCAATTCTATAATCTTTGAAATCTCTATATAATTTTTTTAACACGTTTGACTTTGATTAATATTAAGCGCTCTAATTCTGATAGATGGCGTTGTTATTACAAAAAATGTTGTTATATAAAAATGTTATCAATAAGAGTAAATCTATTGGCTCTCATCCCTGAGGTCGTAGGTTCGCTCACCGGCTGTCCACCAATGAATTTTCTTAAAACATCGTAAGGCGACCAGCTTGCCTTAGACTCAAAAAGTCGACAGCGTGTGTCAGGCACAGGAGGCTGGATCACCTACTTTCCTATTATACTGACTGATCATAAAACCTATAAGGGGTGACATCTCATCTGATAGGGTAAGATTCCCAGTCGAGTCCTACCGTTTATCATGACTACCGTAAGTCAAAATAAAATACCTTTTTGACATACAGAAATAATGATTAGCGCTAAGTATTAACTCTGGTTTAGTTTTAAACGTAAAAACTCATTAGTACCTGCCGCTATTCAGACCAAATAGATTAACCATGACTCTTCAGTCAGTAGCTCATGTCTAAGCGTCGTGGTCAGCAAGGAAACATCTGGAGCGGTCAATCTGTTTCCACCGGTTTCTGTCCAGCGCCTCTCTTAAGACAGTGTACAGTTTTGAGGACGATGAGTCTTTCACTTGATCGGTCCATCTGGTTGGTGAACGGTCACGTGATCTTTCGCCACGATCAGTTTCTCTAAGTTCTCATCGCCTCTGCGCATTGTATGGCGGAAATATAATACGCTGTCGGCATATGGTAGACAGGCGAGTCCGTATGCGGAGTTGGGTCAGGATCGATGGTGCGCTTCGCAGTCCACGGTATTCTGAGCAAACGCCTCCAGCACCACATCTCAAAGGCATTGATCCTTTGCCTTTATCAAACCAAGATAGATAGATAGGTTAACCTTAAGCATTCTGAGACACCCTAAATTTCATATGTTTCATATGTTCTTTTCTCACTCAGTTGGTGTTCTTGCCAGTAGCGATTTTGACAGAGTGTTTTCCAATGTGCACACGGCACTTATATAAACAGGATCTGTCCATCATTTCCTCTGACAGCATAAGTGATCCAATTGATCGGAAGATGCGAAGAATTCGTAAAGCACTTCTATTTTAAGGTATAAAATTTAAGTTCAATAATTCATTTTGTTTGTTCCGTGTTTTCGTAAAATTCTTTTTCCCGACCAAAAGTTTTCCCCTCAGGTAAGTATTCTATCAAAGGAGCCTACAGTGACAAACGTTACTACCATTGGTTCATCAGAACCAAATATATGATCACATATATTTGACCTAACATTACAATTCTACCGTATCTCTTGAGATATTATGATTAGACTAGACCGTAAAAAAGAAAAAATAGTCAAATTCGCTTCGCATAACTTTTTTTGCATGTTTCACTGATACTTTTCATATGTTTCATTATCCAGGAATCTAGCAAAACGCTGTAAATCATAGTATTCTATCATGTTAACATAAAGGCAATTAATACTCACTGGTCAGCATCATGCACGTGTCGCCTGGGTTGCGCGGAGTTCACTGGAGAGGGAAGCAGCCTCTGCGTATCTGGCGAACACGCTCTTGCAAACGCTGCCGCCGCTTCCGCCGCCATTTCTTCGTCGCATGTCGTGTCGTCATCCGCTGTGGAGGAATCAGTACATTATTTTCTCAACAATTGATTTAATATAACGACGTGTTTATGTATGAAAATTTTGAAATATACTCGTGGTTTCATCTCACGTTAATATCTGACTTTTTAAAACCACCACATTGAGCAGCATCTGCAAAATTAGTATCTCTGCATAGTATGTAGTTTCGAAAAAAAAAAATAATAATATAAAGTGATGTGATTCTCGTTCGTTTTGGTTTATTTGTTGAAAAACTATCCACACTATTTGTTGGTTAGAAGTACAGAAAAATTGAGGTTAAGTTAGCAGTAGTGAGGTCTCAGATTTCTGAACCTGTTTCATGATCATTTTTACATTTAAAAGGCAAGTAGGTGATCAGCCTCTTGTGCCTGACACACGCCGTCGAATTTTTGGGTCTAAGACACGTCGGTTTCCTCACGATGTTTTACTTTACCGTTCGAACAAATGTTAAATGCGCACATAGAAAGAAAGTCCATTAGTGCACAGCCGGGGATCGAACCTACGACCTCAGGTATGAGAGTCTCACGCTGAAGCCACTAGGCCAGCACTGCTCTATGAAAAAGAATAACCCTAGTAAATCGATATACAAAATGTCTTGGCTACGAAACAGTCAGTGCTTAGATTGGCAATGAAAGTAGAGATTTTGGAGAATGACTGCCGACAGTAAATGAAGAGGCAATTCCAGAAATAGCGTAATTCTTTAAATCTACGTAATAGACCCCGGAATCAGTCTATAAATAAATCTTAAAGTACAATAATGATGTAAAAATTATCTTTATAGCACACAATATTATCTCATGATAGTAGTGTCGCATTGCAGCGATTTTTATTTATATTTAACTTAAAATTGTCAATGTTAAGATTAATTTACTGCAAGGCCTAATCTAGGTATTAGGTTATTAGTAAAGAGTAAACATACACTATCTATGCCACGCGGTTTATATAATAGAAAAGAAAGACTAATCATTGTATAAATTATAGTATATAGTTATAAACACAGTTCAGCCGTTTCCGGAGTGAGATCCAACCGTGACACGATTTTTTTAAACATATTTTCATATTTCATCTTAGATGGCAATTTACAACTCTGTTCTATAGTTTTTTAGAATTTTGATATTCTTAGGTCTGATATTTTTGATAATATGTCAGCGCAATGTCGCTGGTGTCAGCTGTCAATGTCAATATATGTCGCAGAGCTCGTAAATTAACAACTTTAAAGTATAATCAGTTTAATACTTCTGGTACATTCGATTTGCCAACATTACTTGATCTACAAATTGACGACTATTCGAAAGTCATAATTTCATAGTCATTAATAGTAATGGCGCCACCGGCGCTCCAACATGTACCTATATGAGTAATAAAAACTAATATATTTTTTTATTTCTAAGAAGCACAGGGAATCTGTACCCGTATTACCGTAGCGTATTCTCGGTTATTAAAACAAAGGGGATTTACATCTTTCAAACCGCTCTCCTTTTACCAATAAAATCCGGATCGGCTTCAATTAATAACATTTGGAAATTGTTTTTAGACATTCAAACGGAACATTTACTGACTCAGGCACTATCTTAAGCATTTTAATGGTAATAAATAAAGAACATTTAAATCATCGCCCCACCCAAGAAACCGGTAACAGACATCCATTATTAATTTAAAAATAATCAAAAGAAACCTTAATTGGAAAATGATACAAAAATCCGCTATCTTATTTGTCAATAGGAAATTCAATTGCCCTTGCCCAGTAAGCGTCATTTATATTCAGTGATCTTAATTAAACAACGATTACACTACATCCGCCATCTTATCTATCAATAGGTGACGTAGTTGTTTAAATCTTGACATTTGTTTTAACCACTCTTAACGCTAAATTCGGTATATCGATGAAAAATTAAAATGTTTAAAATGTAAAGAGGATTTTATTGGTAAGATTGATGTTATGAATAACACTATCTTCATTCAATTTTTAATTTCCCTATTATTGGCGATCGAGTTCACTGAACTAAACAGCAGTTATATTAAACGATTAGCATAAACAATGTGTCCAAGTTAATTCGTAAATATTTACAAATTATTGTGAATATCAAAGCGTACGTTCACCTCTTTTATTTATGTCCTAATTTTTATGCCTTACAAAATATTTTGGTGTATTATATTTGGATTAATGCTGCCACAAAATAGGGCGTGTTTGATGCGTGCACATATTCATAACAAAATATTATTTATTCGTTTACCACAATTTATTTGTTTACCACAAGAACGGTCTAGAAAGCAGACGAGAAGAATCGAGAAGGAGAAGATAGACACATGCAATCTGTTATTATGCTCTTAATATTCTGATTAATTATAATACAAAATAAACAACCAATGATTAACCCCTATCATAAACAATAGGCAGAATAGGAGCACGCAAATTACTGTGGGACCATAAGCCCAACAAGTAGTATCAAAGTGAATCAAGGCAGAAAATTATTAATACATAGTGGAACACGTCTGCTCCACAGCATAATGAAAAAGCAGCTGAGCCAGGGCCAGTTACAACCACATCACACACTTAATATGTACAGTATTGATTTCTTTTTCGCTCCATTTTGTTATTTTTCTTTTTTTTGTGTTTCTGTGTGTTTCGTTACTAAATGTAATGTCTATCTGCCTGGTTTAGTGTGTTCTAGTATGCGTTTCGTTAAAAGATTTTCTTATTTGTCTGATTTTTGGATCTACGCCGGTTTTGTTACCGCACGTGTTTTAACGTGTTGTCGGGACTAAAATGGGCGTTAATTGGATTATTTTAAAGGAAATATTTATACGGTAAACTTACGGTCATATTGAAATCCTTCATTAATCATAACCACAATTGTTTTCACAAAAAATCCAAACAAAACACTACACAATCTCACATTATTTTAATTATAACAAATATTTTATAATATTTAACGATATGTTAACTAGGTTAGACATGCCGCTTCATCTACCAAAACTTTCATTGTTATCTAAATTTGTAAACAAAGCGAGATAATACTACGAAAACATTAGCGAGGAAATGATAACATATTTTTGTATTAAAATCTTTTCCAGATGGCATTAATAAAATAAATATATCTAGATATCTCTAATAGGGGGAGGTTTCTGGTTTGAAATACGCATTAAACTTAACATAACATATAAAGGTTATATAGATCTACTAGAGCACCCCAAACTTTATGTACTTGAAAATATGTTGATTGTTCAGATATTCATTAATTTACAAAATTTTATATACAATTTTTTTTAACATTCGTTACAATTACATATGTTTTGAACATGTCGATTCGACTTAGGACTCTTCAAGAAAAGAGCATACAAAGGCAAGGCACAAGCCCTCTGGCAATGTGAGAATCTAAATACATAAATCCAAACAAAAAATTACTTTATATATAATAGTTAAATTTGATAATAAAGAAATAGATGGTATTTGATCGTTAGCTTAGAAATAAATTTGCCTAAAACAATTTATTAACGGAGCCGATATAGCGACATCTAGAATTTAGCGCTACAAACAGTACTGGCGCTTCCGAAGTGTTTGCATATGTTGAGCCTGCATATACAAGATCTAAAATCTATATACCTAAACGCCAATGGGGTCTCAGAGTCTGTCAGTGGTTACATAGGATCCTAGCTTAAGGCTGAACACCTCCAACCCTCCATAAAGCAACGTGCAATTGTGATATTGTTTTTAAAACATATTTCAGTGCCAAGCCAAGTAACCAATTCTGAATTGGGTTTTTGAAAAAAAAAATTGATTTTTTAATGTATTTTAAAACTTTATTGTTAATAATATTGATGTTTAATGCAAAAAACTTAAAAAAATTTTTTTTCAATTAATTATAAACAATTAAAAATTGATCAAATTTAAATAAAAATCACGTGACTATAAATGCGCCATGAATGATCGATCACCATGTTGTGACGTCATAATGTTAAAGCAATTTAACAGTACAGCGTTTACGGCTATTAATATATAATATAATAGTAAGTTTGGTATAGTATATACTATATACTAAACTATAACTAAAACTTTTAATTAGGAATTTAGAACTCCTAATACTTTATTTATGTATATTATAAAAATCCATGTATCCTCTCAAAAACTGAACACATTTTGAAAGAAATCAGACTGTGACAACTTGTGGACACAAAAAACTTAGCACGCGTGTTTAAGTCATATTCAAATATTAAATTGATGATCTTACATTAAATTATAATGATTCATATGCACTTTTTATTATTAGGTATTAATTTTTTTTTCTTTCATGTGTCCTTTATTAGTTTGTTTTTTGTTCCTGTTTAGTTTCTTTTTCTAAACAACTAAATGTAATACATGTATTTTTGCACTTCTTGCCTATCTTATCTAATTTAATCTTTTCTAAGTGGTTTCGTCGTTAAAGCGATAAGGCCGCCAGTTGCTCTCCTTTTTATTTAATTATGTCAATTGTACTATATTAATGTATATGCAACGAAGTGTTAATAAATAAATAAATAAGTCTACCTATATCACATATGTGTTTCCCAACTTGGGTCCCACGCCCCACAGGTGGCCAATTTGGATTGTTTTTGTTTTTGGAGGGGGCCTATTCGAAAATTTTATAAAATTATTTGGAATTAGTTTTTATTCGGTTCAAAAAATTTACTTACTGTGTTTCATTAACAATTTCCTAGTTATTTCTACCTAAAAACCTATCATTTAAGTGAGCAATTAAATTTATTATTAAATATTATGTTTCATAGATTTTATCGGGGGCAAAAGAAGTTAAAAAGGCCAAGATGGGGCACAAAAATGGTTGATAAACACTGATATTTATACAGTTACACACACACAGTTAATAAACAAAATATTGAAAGAAAACTTACGCCGGATTCGCGGTTTCAGCTCCAAATGTACCGTGGGTTGGATTTCCATAGTTCCACTTTATAAAATCAATTCTTTTGTTATATTTGTATTGCCTGTGTCGCGCGATAACACCGAGTGCGTCAATTACTATTTATCGATATCGGCTTATCTCCGATAACTGGGGCTAGTGATGTGTCAGACATTTTCCGGAAAACATCAATATGAATAATAGTTCTGCTTGTGTGTGTGAAGGTCCTAACCATGTTAATTGGAAACACCTATTTTGCTAATTACTTTTCTTTATAATGATAAACTATATAGTAAGTATGTCGAAATGTTTTTTTGGAATAACTAACTTAAGTAGCGTTTAATGGGCGTTCCCTATATATAATAAAATAAAACCAGGTAGCACCTGTTTGACCATAACTAATAGGTTAAATTATTTAGGTTCATTTTGATTTTCATACAAATTTAAGTCAAAGTCAAAAATCATTTATTCATATAGGTAACACGATGTACACTTATGAACGTCAAAAAAGAAATAAATACATTAAATGCTTATAATTTTACATTAACTGCCAGTTCTCAAATCAAGGGCGTAGAACGGAAGAGAAGAAGTAGTAATAAACTCTCAGCCACTCTTTTATAAACGCCAAGTTTTTTGTTTTACACAATGTTTAAAACAAAAACTAAAGGAGCTGCAACCATTTCACCATGTTCCACATGACATCTTTATTATTAAATAATAACATACTTACGGAACTATATTAATATTATTAAAAGGTTCGAAAAAAACTTAAATTTGTGAGCATAATCTAACCAAATTAAAGAAAACAAAAATTTTTCTATATTTAAAGAACTATAACTAAATTATTATGAACATAAAAATCACTCTTTACTAGAAACCCTAATTTTCATTCACTAGAAACAATTAATATGGCTAAGTTATATCACAACTAGTCACACATCTAGAAATTAGTTGTAAAAACCGAAACTTAAACGTAATCACGTGACATGCGTATGCGCAACAAATAACGCAGTTACCACTGTATAAAATAAAACCCTTACCTATACCTGATAGCACGTTTTTAAACATCTTAACACTACACAGGTCCAAACGAAAGGAAGTCGGAACGGAACTAAAATAACCATCTATTAGACGCATTAGACAAATTAATGTTTGTGATGATTACGCGTTTCGGACTCGATTAGTTAATTAGTATAAATTGTTTTTCTTAATATGTCCTTTTAAAGTATTTGAAAACCGTCATGATTTTATTGATCAGTGATGTTTAATGTTTTATCCGGAATCGAACAAATTTACTGTTTCTGCGTCATCGGGGTACCTACTTTAAATAATAGAGGATTTTGTAAAGAAAAAACTTTTTACCGGATTAAAGTTACATAATACATAACTTTAATCCGGTAAAAAGTTTTTTCTTTAAATGTGTAAAGGTTATGTTAATCAGAGGATTTTATGTTATTCACTTAAGAGAACGAAGTGGATTTGTGATTATGTCATGACAATTACTCTGTTTAAAGATCTGTTTTGACTTTGTATAAAACGCATCTATTTTAATTCTAAAATTTTATCCAATAAGGTCGCTGCTTAAAATCCGGCTTGAAGGACCAAAATGTACTTAACGTTCTTGGGGGTGCTTTAAGTAATAGAGGATATTTGTACTATATTAACCTCTCACGTACAACAAAAGAATAAATGCTTAATCAAATGATATACAATCGGGCCGTAACTACAACTTAGGTAATCGCCACCTGTTAACGTTTTGATTGTAATTTAAATTTTTATCTATACATAGTTTTATTTATTATTATTGCTTTTTTCTTTAGACTTTACTTTATTTTAGTTATAGTAACGAGTTATTTTTTGTTATGTGTATGTTTGTGAATAAGGTAATAAATCATAAATAAATAAATAATAAATAAATGTATTTTTTCATTTAAACTACTGGAAGCATACATTTAGTATAAATAAAAAATATCTACAAATTTACCACAAAATCTTTATTAAAAACATAAAATTGTAATGTTTAGTGTTTATAATCGAGATTATAATAGTATATATTTAGGTATAAATGTATTTAAAAAATTAAAGTAGGCCAAAACCATATCGCTATAGATCTGTGTTATGATAATCAAAGATAACATATTGATTTTTTGAGTAAACAATATTTTAAAGTAAATAACATCATACTGTTTGACCAATCGCTTAAGCTGATTCATATTTTGTATTTAGGGAAAAACTATGAGTGTAAATTCTTACGATGCGCGCGCACACCGTCACAAAAAACCGACACCCTGAAGGTAGCTACAGTCAACATTTTTTTTATACAACTATTGATGCTGTATTTGTACGATATTTAGACAATGTTTCTACAAGAATATTTGTTTCATACTTTAGCTAACATAAGCCTTTTGTAACTCACATGTCTACTGGACTCCAACCAATGTATAGGTTGCATGCTAAATAAAAAATGTCCATTTCCTTAATTATGTAGAATTTTTTTTTTTATATTTAAATAAACTTTATTCTACTAGATAATGCGTTATAATAAAACTTTTAATGTGTTAAATAATTTTAAATTGTTTGTAGTTTTTTTCTACAATACGTAGAGTTTTTTTTTAAATAAAGTGATAACCCCATAACTTTGTTGCTATTGTTAGTGTAACGTATTTTCTGAGTTTTTTTTTTATATAAATTAGCAAGTTTTGTTAAAAAAATAAGGGGATAAACAGTCTTTCTACTATTTGAATTTATATTATTTTTTGTATAAATTCATTTCATATCACGTTTTTTTATAGAACAGCAGGCTCATCTGATGTTAAGTGATACTGCAGTTCATGAATACTTACACTGTCAAAGAATTCGCAAGTGCGTTACCGGCTTATTTAGAATCGGTCCTCTCTTTTCTTAAAGACTCAAAAAAACCTTAAAAAATAACATTATTTTGTCGTTCATAAATATTTATTGAGTAATTAGGGTGTGAAATAACTCACCGAGCGTGGTGTGCGAGTGCGGGTTGTGTATGATCCGAATCCGCCTCTCGGGATGAATGGGCTCCCCCGCAGCCCCCCCGGGCTGGACGGCCCACCTCGCGGCCTCCGCTTCGGGGGCACTTCGGGGGAAGTACAGCCCCGCGAGGGCCGTAAACGGGGCGAGCTCCGCCCCGCAGTTGCTGGTTAGGATCACGAGGTGCGGAGCCAGGTTCTGTTCGAGATACCGTCTTATTGTTCCTGTAATTAAAATTAATCTCTATGACAGTGTCAGTCTGGATTTTTTTACAATTCGGGCTATTTGAGAAGATTTAAAAAATCATTTCAGATAATTATAACTATAGAATCTAGATTTTTTTATTATTTTTATTTTTAATTTAAAATAAAAGTTAACAAACAAACAGTTAAAATAATAACAAACCTGCTAAAACTTTTCTCTAATTCCCTACGTTTTCTAAACAACCGTCAACTTGACGTCTGTTTAGTGCGTCAATTGTCTAAAAACTTTGTGTGACGTGACTGACATTTAAAAATAAATAATTTTATAATTATTAGCGTTAATAAGTATATTTAAGTGACATTTACTTCATAACACTTTTAAAGCCAAATAAATTTCAATAGGACACATGGCTACATAAAAATCACAGAAATTTTGTTTATAAGGTACTAGATATTATTTCAATTAATTTATCATTTGCCTGAGCTATGTAACCTAAAGTTAGTTAAGTTACATATACATAAGTTAATAATAAAAAGTTCAAACTAAATTTTACAGTTGTAAGCTTAGGTTTCCTAGAAAAGCGGTGCGTTAACTAACGGCCGTCATTTTACGGTTGTTAATAACAACCGTCTTTACTTTTTAACATATTGCAAAAAAACATCATTTTCGCTCGTCCAAGTCACGTTTCCACTCATTGAATTAATTAAATATGGGCACCGCTACACTTGAAAAACGTTTATCACCGCTATGACTGCCGCCATGCAAATGACAGCACCGCTATTTGACGTTACGATGACACTCAACATTGTCTAGAAATCCTACTCCGATGTTATTTATAGACAACGTATGGGTGACGTCACCCAACGTTACATTACGGCCGTTAGATAACGGCACCGCTTTTCTAGGAAACCTAAGCTGTAGCCAATAAATTGTAATATAATATTCTCGTTTCCGATAATGTCCAAAAGGTCAACTACACTTATATTGAAGTGTCACTTCGATTTAAGAACCCTTAAATAAGCCAAGTTAGGTTTTGTAGAATATGTTTGTTAATATTAGTAAGTTGTACTTACTATAAGAAATTATTATAGTAAAAAGTATATCTCCCCTACGGAACCATGGTTCGTGTTCTATAACATGTACCGGTCGTTTAAGGTAGTAACGAAAAGAGGAAAAACTCACGCAAAGCGACATGCGCAGCGACATCCGGCGGGAAGTTCCTCCTCGGCGTGTTCACGACGCACAAGGCCAACGAACGCGCGCCCAATTCGCCCGCCGCGTGGAGCACGTTCCTGGAATCAGTTCAATCGAGCGGTCAATATATTTTGAATTTGTAGGCTATAAAATATTACGCTACGATCCAACTGTCGCGGATGAAGCAAGAACAAGAACAAATTTACACACACGTTAGTAGTGAAGGAAGGATGGTGTTCTCCTCCTCCAACTTAAAGAAAGGATCCTCGACCAGTCTAATCAATGGATCGAAGGCTTTTTTTGGAATGGGCATTTTTCCCCTGCCCAAAGGGCAGGTTGGGAGCTCACTGGAGTGAGCGAAGTACGGACTCAACTTTTTATTAAAATTTAAATTTAGTGTACCCTCTAGTACCCCAGGCATCCAATCATTCCATTTGTCCCTCCTTTCCGGAGAACGCGTTTTGGTCTGGATATCCACTTTAAAAACGATTTTTGTTTAGGTTTTATAATTTTAATTGTTTTGTTTTATGTTTGTATTATCACTTCGTATATGTCATGTTTGCCTATAAGTGCTTGTCTCATTAAAAATTGTATTTTGTGGTTCTTTTACCAATATATCAGTGTGCCGAGCGTTGCAATAAGCTTTTCTGGATTTGCGGGTGTTGTAAAGAGCGTACCAATTCTTAAAAGGCCAGCAACGCACTCGCTTCTGATAGTGTGAGTTTGCATGATCGGCGGAATTACTTGACATCGGATGTCCTGTTCTTATGAGGGTAGTATGAGAGTAAATGAGGGTAGATAGAAAAAACATACTTGTAGCAATTATGAAGTGAGTTCTCGGCAGCGCTGTGGTACTTGGCGAGGTACTTGGGGCTGACCGTGTGCACCACGTGGCGGCTGCGGAGGGAGTAGCCCCCGGTCACCACCGCCTCACCAGTGCGGCACTCTAGAACATTAATAAACATTATTATAACTTCTGTTGTTACATCTTTGACCGACATCAGAAATAATGTTATCTTTGTATAGGATATTGTTGAAATTGAATTATAATTGAGTATAATAATCTATGTATTCTTGATTTAAACATTCTTACTTTGGTAACAGTCCCAATTTCATCAAAATCTGTTCACTAGTCTCAGACAAAAATCATTCATTCATATAGGTAACGCAATGTACACTTATGAACGTCAAAAAAGAAATATACATTAAATGCTTCTAATTTTACATTTTCTGCCAGTTATCAAATCAAGGGCGTAGAACAGAAGAGAGGAACTGGCAACCTAAACTCTCCGCCACTCTTTTTAGTTAGTTTAGTTTTTGTGATATCTTGTATCCAAGGGTTTTTAGACTACATGTCCTATACATGACAAGTATTCTAAGTCAGTTTCACTAATAATACACATAGCTAAGAACTAGGGAGTCGTCAGAGAGAACAGATAGGTAACTGCCCCCCACTCTTAGGGAGCGTTCGAGTATTACGTAACGCAATTTTTGGAGAGTTTTGACCCCCCCCATGTAACTCGCCGTAACGTTTTTCAGTACCCAAATACAGTAGTGTACCCAAGTATAGTAAAACGTTTCGTGACCACCTAGTGACTCTTTAGTTACTAGTATGTGGTGTAAGTCGAAAAAAATATTAACAATAACGCGTAATTTAATCCCCGCCACGCATCGTAACGTTTTACAAAAGGACAAGCCCCCCCAAAATACGTTACGTAATACTTGAACGCTCCCTTAGAGGATCTGAGTTTTCATTAAATTTCAGTCAATTTTTATTGCTTAATACAATATTGTAGCCGCTGTAGGTGTTTCTTTTTTTATTGTTCCATATTAGGGTTGCCTGGAAGTCATCGCTTGTTAGCGATAAGGCCGCCCGTTGCCTAATAACTTATGTAACCTGCTTTTTTTTGTTTTTATATGTATGATTTTGTATATTATGGTAACGAAGTGTAAATAAATAAATAAGTAAATATTCCCATCCTTTGTACCTACTTCTACTGGGCCTATGCCCCTTTGACTCTCTTGACTTATACCCAAGCTTTGAACCAATGCATACCATGAGCTCTAGTGATGATTTCCTCCTTAAGATCAGGTCCAGCCGTGGACATAATCCGTTCGCTGACTGCGTTACATTCCGTCAGAGTTTCGTCGCTTGTATTCGTTATAACGTCGACTTCCAGTGTCGTGATGTCACCTTGCCTGAAATAATAGTCGATAATTAATAAAACAGCAGTAGCCTAGATAGTACGACTCTCATCACTAAGGTCTAAGGTTCTAACTCCGGCCGTGCACCAATGCGTTCGTACGTGAAAAGTAACCGTGAAGAAATCACATCGTGAAGAAACTTGATTTTGTCTTATAGAACCGGGGGCAAACGGGCAGGACTCTGATGTTCAGTGATACCCCCCGCCCATGGACACTCACAATGCCAGAGGGCTCCCGAGTGCGTTGTCGGCCTTTTACAATTTGATATGCTCTTTTCTTAATGTACCCTAAGTAGAATTGATTCGGAAATAATTGATAGAGATGGTGCGCGGCAAAAACTTCCTTAAATACTGCTCAGTTGCGGAACAACGGACGAGGTGATACGGGTGGAATTTCCTATTCTGCCTTGCCTGAATTCTGATTATCAAACTCAGCTGTAGGTATTAATGCCAACAACTCCTCTCTTCTGTTTATTCAGCTCTTTTTTAGCAGGTTGTGAAAGACATACCTTAGCGATAAGGCCGCCCATTGCTCTCAGCCTTCAATAACAGTATTTTCTATTTCTTGCTGTCTGATTTCCGTAGATTTCCGTTTCAACGGAAATCTTAAGGTTATACATAATTATACATAATCACTAAAACATGGAGTCAATGGTGTACTAACCAATTATGTATTTAGAAAAACTATTCCTATAGCTATCAAACATTACCAAGACATTTGGTAGTGTCTCTAATACTTAATTGATAACGCACATAGCGTAGAGGATGGGTTCAAGTTCTAGCGAAACACAGTATGGAAAAATGTACCCTTACCATATAGCAAATCTATTGTTAATAGCGTCATCGTAGGTGAACACAGGGTAGGCGTGTAACGGTGCTGCCTTGCCAGTATAGTCTGTTAAGGGAGCGTGGGGCACCTCTGACCAGCGCGTAACAGCGCCGATCACCGCACCAGCTGGCGCGCGCATCACTCCGTTCTCTGGAATTGATAAGTGTATTGTTATTAGAGTATCCATTCACCTCATTCAACCACCACCACATCAATTCGATTTGGCCGTCGCTTATAGCAAAAAAAAAAAAAATGGAGAAAGAGAGCCATAGACAGAGTCAGTTGGAAAAAGCTGGAGGAGACCTTTACCCGTGAAGGGGTTCCGATCAACGGAAATAAAACGGGCTTTATTATTATTATTGCAAAAAACATTTACGTATAACAGAACACGGGGTGGCTCTCAAAGACAAACGCCGACAAAAGCTGTCTATACAAAATCCCTTACATTCATTACATAAAGAGATAAGCTATATATCGTATTTATATACGTAAAGAAGTTTTATTCAAATGTATAGTACTCGCGTACAGAGGCAATATTATTAATAATTATTATTATTTTAATTTCCACTGCTTTAAGGGCCTTTGAATCGTAGCGATCCTACGTCCTGATAATATACAACTATTCCCTGTTCAGGAGGCACACATTTATTTATTTATTTATTTAATTATAAGTAATCTTACAGCTAACATACATAATATTACAAAACAAACACTTAGACAGTACAGAAAGCCAAAACAGATTACATAGATAAACAATATTATATACGAAAAATAAAACAAATAAGCGCATCAATAGACAAAACTATATAAATAAACTGAAATTTAATATTTAAAACAACAAATAATACTAAATATTTCGAATCACAACCTAAACAAAATTAGAGTCTTCCCGCCTCTTCAAATATTTTCTCACATGTTCTTTGGTGAGGTGGAAAATATCAATATCCTCATAATTAGTGTCATAGTTAGATAAAACCCGAAACATTGGCGAATTATGCAGGTAATTCGAGTTCGTATGAGGCACATGGAACAATTTTGTGTGTCTTGTCGCATAAGGAGAAGGAATTTTAAAAGAAATTAACGACAGCAAATAGGGCCTATCGATCCGCCCATCCGCACATTGCTGATGTTCGTTAACAAGGTTAAGTTCCTTAAGACTGCACCAGAATGTGCTATATGTGAAAGGTTTAGGTTTTTTGGAAGAATATAGGCGGATATTAAATTTATGTTCTTAGTAAAGTAACTTATGTAACGATATACCAAGGGCAACATTCAGAAAGGACTGTGTCTGACTACCGTCAGTTAAGTCAGAAATTTGTAGACATACATTTATTCATATAGGTAACACAATGTACACTTATGAACGTCAAAAAAGAAATACACATTAAATGCTTCTAATTTTACATTTACTGCCAGTTCTCAAATCAAAGGCGTGACGGAAGAGAAGAACTGGCAATAAACTCTCCGCCACTCTTTTTAATCGCCAAGTTTTTTATTTTACACGTTTGTAAGGAGCTGCAACCATTACACCATGTTCCACATGACAAGAGTGGCCGACCAAGATCATGTCCCTTGATCTTGGTCTACCCAGGTATAAATGCTTTACGATAGGGGTTTATGGAATTGTGCGAGCATAATACACTGCAAAAATATATCGATCCAAGGTAAAAGGTTTGTCTGTCATTAAGGTCACGTTTATATTTTATGCAGTCGTTATAAAGTACGTGCGTGCGTTTTTTCCAATCCCATCGCGGCCTGGCACGAGGTTTACAGAATTATTCATTACAATATAAATTACGGGACGTTTACCTTAGCCGGTATCTTACCATCAAAAAATCTGTTATTATTTGAACCAGGAATGTATTAATACTATTATCATTATTATACAATTAAAAAAGAAAGAGTGGCGGAGAGTTTATTGCCAGTTCTTCTATTCCTTTCTACGCCCTTGATTTGAGAACTGGCAGTAAATGTAAAATTAGAAGCATATCGTATATATATATTGTTTTGACGTTCATAAGTGTACATTGCGTTACCTATATATGAGTAAATGTTTTTGGCTTTTGACTATTAATAAAATAAAATAACCACGGAGATGGATCTTAATAATTCTAACCGTTCGCACTGTTAGTCTGTATCCAAACACGTTTAATAAAACCCTTATAGTCATTGTGTCAAGGTCGCTGCTTCGATCTTTTTATGCATGATAGCAATTTGTCAAGTGGTCCGATACTATCAGTAAAATAGCGACGGCCTTAGCCGCCTAAGCACTATTGTGTAAATTAACTAAGAGTAATTAAACAGAACTTCATTAGCAAAGGGCTATTAGTGACTGTTTCTCTAACATGTAATTAAAATCATGTTCGTGGATTACATAAAACAAAGAAAGAATAGCCACAGGTATGCCACATGAAGAAGATACCACAACCGTTTTGCGATGGCAAAGTGTTCATGAAACTGGTCTTATAACTTATATTCACAATTTAAAAGCGAAATGAGTTGTAATGATAAACTGTCTCAAAGATAAATTTATACCGAATACACTTTTAGTAAATGCGTGTGCATAAATCTATCTATATACAATTTTTATATAGGTTTGTGTAAGCTCAAAAACTCAAAAAGTTCTGCACCGATCGAGCTGAAATTTGAGCAAATTTTTATCTATTTTTTTCCATAAGTATTGCAAAATTGAACTTATATGAAATGTATTCTTTGTTTTGTTTCTCATTTCTCAACCATTCAATCACAATGTGCCACAGCGAAGCGTGGCAGGGTACAGCTAGTTAATATATATGTATGCAGGTATGTAGTTGAAATCGCGACAGCGGTTTTAAATATTAAATTATTCATAAATGATTAAACAGTATGAAACTATGCAAAATACTACACATTTCTTCACAATTCACACATTATTAAACATAGCTTAACATACATTCAAAAAAATTAAATCGTCATACCCAATACAGTCATTTTACGTAGCACACTACACTGTACACACGTCTGTTCGCGACGGTGTCCGTCGGAAATATGACCTCGAAGGCTCGCTTCGCTTGACGTAAGGGGGTGGGATGTGACGTCACAAGGTTGACGAACCCCGGAAGTGGGTCAGGGGAGCACTCAGATCAAAGGCTTTGTTGCCAGATCTGTTACGTAAGCTATCATTACGATATGTTTTCTAGCTTTTACATAGTACACACATTGACTAGTCGAAATTATTAAATAATTATTTATTTCAGTAATTGTAGTCTGTGAATTATTTTTTCAGTTTTACCGTGTTAAACGTGCAATGCCCTGAAGTTGCGCATTCGAATCCGTGAAAAAATAGACATATTTCTAAAAGTTTTATTTTTATTCTTACGAGAAATCGAAAGTAAATAGTCTGTATGAAAGCTTATATATAAACTACAAAATCCTCTAATCATAAATAGAACATTTCTTTAACTATTTTTCATTAACCTCCTCGCCAGTAATAACAAATAATTGTGTTTAATATTCGCCCTTGTTTTCCCTAATTCAACGTTAGACCCCGGGATTAATTTAAAATCCAAAATAAGGCCTCGTGCTGTGCAACTCACCGAAACATTATGGTAATAAGACAGAGTTAGTATAGGCAAGCTTAAACATTTTGATTAAAACATTTAACCTTCATAATTAAAAATATTTTGATAATTTAATTCAGACCCCAATTTAATTCCATGAAAGCAGGAGCTATTCCTGATAATACACAATCACGTTGAATTGTATGCTGAATACGTTTTTTTAAGACTGGAAGCAAAAGAGCGGGCGAATAGAATTAAGTGTTTACCACCGCCCAAGGACAATTACAACACGAGGTAACTGTTTGAAAATACGAGGAATAACACCTGGTTCCAGTGGAACTGTAGTGTCTTGTATATTGCTATTGTGTTGCAAGATTCACTAGAACTTCTTAGGGATTTACCTTTGATCAAATTTGTTGTGAGACTGTTCCGGACCTATTTGTGAAGAGTATGAAAGTAATAATAAACGGCTCAAGTAAAGTCCCTTTGAAGTAGGGACTGTTGGGCCGTGGGGTTCAACAGGCGCTAATTAAAGATTTAAGTTAGCGCCTGGGAGATAGTACTGATGACCCCAGAGCTGGTACTTTCCTGGCTCAACGAATAAGTATCGCAATACAGCGAGGAAATGCTGCCAGCGTTAAAGGTACACTGCCACAGGGACCAAACTTTTTAAATTTGCTTCATATTTTAGTAGGTGAAGAATATTGTAAATACAACACAATTAATTTTTAATAATAAAACAAAATAAGTATCATTTAAAAATATACTTAGAAGTGATTAAATGGATAGCAAAAGGTTTTTTCTATTCATTTTATAAAAATGACTTAATTGTATAATAGTTTTATAATATTGTTAGTTAACACTTGGCCATGTATAACCTGTAAATAAATAAACAAGATAAAATCTTTAGTTTTAGGGTCTGTTTCACAATGTACAGATAAGTTCTACATAAGTTCCAAATTAGCTATTTATTACTTATTGGTAGGATAATCACAATTGTTGCGTTTCACGACTGTCAGATAGCGCTATTCGTCACACAAAATCCATCATAAGTTATGAGTCTGATGAATGTCAAATAGCACAATTTATCTTCCAAATAATTTATGTGTTGCATAGCTATTTGGTACTTTATCCATACATTGTGAAACAGACCCTTAGAATTTTGCTATGACACTAGGAATTCAAGACAAATAATCGCCACTATCCCTTTTGACAGTTAGTTTTGTCAAAAGATAAACCTGAGAGAATCAAACTTGTAAATCACAGTATTAAAGTGTCTAAAGGAAATCTAGCGAGATTTGAAAGTTTAAGATTTAACTTACAAAGACAGAAACTGGTTATAAACTTTGTTCGATACGGATTTATTTATAGTAATGGTTATACTTGATGAATTATGTCAGTGACGTTGCGTACGAACTAGGATTGAACACTTAACAGGCAAGGGTTTTTCAAGAAAAGAGTGTAGAATCTTAAAAGGCCGGGAACGCACTCGGGGCCCTCTGGCATCAGAGCAGCCTATGCGCCTGACAGTCCCGTCGAATTTTATGTCTAAGGAATTTTCTTATGTTTTCAATCCACGATGTGTGATTTTAAAAACACC